CTGTAATCTTCAATCGGATTTACTGTCAAAACCACATCAGCATATAACTTAAACATGATGAAAAGACTAATCTACCCTTACTAGACCAACTCTAACAACTCATAATCATAAATTTCAATATTTCATATACAATATAATCAATTCCATTCAGAAAAATAACAAAGCATATTTAAAGTTGCTTTTTTTTGAAAAAGATAAGGTAAAATTTATTGAGTCAAACACAGGAGCATAGTACAATAGGGCCCAAGAGAAACCGGGCCACAGGCCCCCACATGTACAGGCCAACCACAAACAACCAGTTATACTTATGCATTCCTAATACTCAAGGAGCTCAGCAAAGCAAACAGAAATTGATGCTGGAACTCCTTTACAACTGAAACCCAAGAAAAAGGTTTACCAACTGAAATGGAAATCAGCTCATCCACTTTCTTTTTAGAGTTCCTAAACTACTTTCTATTTCTCTCTACCCATACTGCCCCTATTACAGCTGCCAGAATGGAGAGCCAAATACAGTTCCCTCTTTTACTCAAACCTGGGAGGCTCTAGCACCACAATATCTCCTTGACCAATCTAGGCATGGCCCAACTTACTCTCACAGCTTTAAGGAAGTGTCACCAAATCTGAGGGATAAATGGACAATGAATGAAGTGGTGGTCAACATCTTATGTTGTCTATCCACACAAATTGCAATTCAAGTCAGGAAGCTGCACCCCCCTTCTAACAGAGTTATCCTATGTCAGACAAATGTCCGATACTGCAGCCCAAACCAAAGCATTAATATTTGTAGGGGATTAAGGATTCCAGATTCGTTTTGCTGGGAAGAGCCCAAAGCTACATTCAGACTATTTAAGCAAAGTAACAGCACATGGATTGGAGCAAGAAACTTTTATTGCAGAAAGAATTGAAGAAAAATGCAACATATTATATAACATATGCAATGTAAATTTAATAATAATAGGATTGTAAATCAGGATATACCTAGGATTGGAGACCAAGAGAACTCAATGTGGCCTCTTCCATTACTTCGGAGCAATATATCATAACAAGAGAGAAATTGAGGAAAATGTCATCCATAGAATTAGAGCAGGATGGGCATGATTATGAGGTGCATCTGTAGTTTTGTGTGATAGGTGAATACCACTTAGACTAAAGGGAAAATTCTATAAAGCAGTTGTAAGGCCAACGATGTTTCATGGAGCAGAGTGTTGGTAGTGAAGAAACAAAATGTCCAAAAAACGAGTGTAGCAGAAATGCAAATGCGGAGATGGATGAGTGGAAAAACTAGAAAGGATAGGGTAAGAAATAAAATCATTTGGAGGAATCCTAGAGTAGGTCCCATAGGTAATAAAATGAGAAATTAGAATAAGACGCATAGTTTTCAAGGCGCCAAGGTGAGGCTAGCCAACAGGGGGGCGCCTAGGTGATTAGGCGAGACGAGCCTCAAAGGGCACCTTGTCACCTAGGCGCCCGCCTAGGCGTCAGCTTGACAACTATGCTAAGACAGTGGTACAGAACATCCATAAGAATTGATCTGCTACAAGCAAGGTTCAAAAAATCGATACGATACGCCCCGTATCGGGCGTATCGTATTGTATCTTTTGGGTCCCGATACGCCTGTTTATAGGTGTTTCAGTACCCCACTATTTTCTAATGAAAAATATAGGTAGTTTAATCCCCAAAAACCAAATTTTGAAAAAAAAAATCATGTTTCTTCGTGGTTTAAAGTACTGATACGCAGAGGTGTATCGATACTTTGAACCATGGCTACAAGTTGAAGAGGGCTACAAGAGATAGGGGCAGAACGAAAAGGACTGGGTTGAAGTGGTAAGAAATGATTTAAGCACTCGTCATTTGACGATGGACATGGCATGACACTAAACAGAATGGCAAAACAGGATTTATGTAGTACACCCCATATAGTTGGGAAGTTGGGACAAGGCTTACATGATGGTGATAGTGTACAAGTATGCAACATGTAATAAGGTGTCTGTCTTGCCCTTTTCCTTGCCTGAGAAGACCTTAAACATGTATGAAAAAGAAAACCAATATAAAGACACCAACGGACCAACCAGAAAATGTCTTGTTGGCATTGGTGTGCTTAGACACCTACAAAGGTGTTGATTAGACAGTACAGAGTGGGATGAGCAGTTCAAAGGAATGGAGCATAGAGGAAGGTAAGAAGGGAAGAGAACCTTGCAATGGGTTTGAAGAAGGAAAGCCAAGAGGGGAAGGCAGAGAAGTGGGCAGAGAATCAGACGGCGAGATGGGGTATGAACAGAAAACATTGGTAAACAATGTGGGTGTAGAGATTGAAGGAAGGGAGAATGAAGTGAAAAGGGGGGACAGACTGTGTGGTTTGAGTGGAATCTCTGTTTCAAAAGATAAGGGTAGAGTTAATGACAAAAAGGGTAGTAGAATGGAAGAAGTGTTGATACTAAATTTTGATGGAAGTGTCTTTAGGAATCGTGGACTAGCTGGATAGCCTGGAATTGGAGGAGTATTCAGAGACTGAAATGGCAACATATGCTGCGCCTTTAGTGGACCAATTGGGATCGCTAACTGTACTAAGGCAGAGGTGCTGTAGCTCTCATAGGTCTTCTGTATTGCTAGAGATCTGGGCATTCTGAATCTAACCACTAAAGATGACTTTATAAATACTATAAAATGGTTCGAAGAAAAAGAGGGTGGCCCTTGGAGACTTGGTCATTTTTTTGCTGAGGTTGAAGACTTGGTCAATAGCTAATGACCTAGCAAAGCTTGGTGCTCATTCAGATGCTTTGTATAGTGAAAGGTCTGTACCTGTGTAGCTCCTTTGGGCCTCCCTCTAGTTTTTGCTTGTACATCGTATCATGTACCCCTGTTTTCTTTATTAATGAATTTCAGTTGCTTTCTCTTGAAAAAGGGTAGTATAGGAGGAGGAGGTTTAATGGCAGGAACTTAAGAGTGAAGAAGTAGGAAATGGATCAGGGTTGGGATTAATATTACCTGGTGAACAAAAACTATAAAAGAAAAAGAAAGTACAGAACCTTTTCTTTGGTCGAGGATAAGGAGGTTGTTGATGAAGATGGAGAAGAATCTAAGGAAAATGATGGCAAAGTGATCGTGGATGAAAAGCATGAGATTGGAATTACAATAGATTTGGAGACAGAGGTGAATAAAGAGGTGGAATTTAATAAAACACTGACCTTGTTTTTTATTTGGGAGGGGGGGATTTGTGAGGGAGAAATTCAAGGACTTAGAAGATAAACACTTTGGAAATTTGAAGAATAAGGAAGAAGCAAAAGGAAATTTTGTTTTGGTGGATAGGGAAGACCAATGGACAAGCAAGAGGTTGCAATGTTCTGATGAGGAGGTGGAAGATTTTGAAGGAGTTAGAGAGCAGGTGGCAGCCCAGACGTTTGAGAAGAATCTGGTTCTCGAACTGGAAAGGATTTATCTATAAATCTAAGGACTTTCTTTTGAAAGAGAACAGTTACCTAATTAATGTGAATTAAGAACAAGAAGAAGCATCGAACAGTTCAAGTGTCGAGAGTTTTCACCAGATTGAAGATGGGTCTTTTTGGATGGGCCCTAGTAAGAAGATAAATAAGAAAAAAAGCATTGAACTCTATCTGAGATTCTTGGGGAAATGGAGTAATTTTTTGTTTGCAGGGTGAGGAGTTTTTTGCGTGGAGATTGTGTAAGGATTATAAAGATTTGAGGTTTGTTGTTTATTTGTTTATTTGTTGATGAGATGGATTTCCTCTGTGATTGGTTGGTATAGTTGGTTTACTTCAGGGGTGGGATAAGTTTTTTTGCTGAAAGGGTAGGGGGTTTTTTGTTTGTTTTTTTGATCAATAAGGGTAGGTGGGTTTTTTGTTTTTGTTTAATTCTTTTATGGATATTGGGTGGTCATGGTTGAAATTTAGAGGAGGGTTTCTGGTCTCGGTATTGTTTCTTCTTTTGTTTTTTGTGGGTGATACCTTATCACCTGTTTTGTAATTTTTCTCTCTTGTTTTTTCTTAATAAAGCTTTCTTCTTATTTTACTATAAAAAATAGTGTATGGCCAGAAACATGGATATGATCCTAATAACAAATAGTGTCTAAGTGATGACTGTAATGTTTACCTTTTTTCAGAATTGCTTTGAGCCATTGGAGATACCTAAAAGACAAATTTCTTTGTTCAAACACTAAAAACACTAAAATTACCTTTTAAACCACATCCAATTATTTGAAATCATCATGTTAAAAGCCTTCTAATAGATCTTGTTTGCTTCCTTCAAATATTATAATTCATAGTCAAATCCCCCTTTAAAATGGAAAAAAAAGGAAACACATGTTAGTGTTGAGGAAAACAAAAGCTAAAACATAGGGAGAAAAAGGTTTGGTGTACTTCACAATGGAGATTCCTTTTTATATTCATAAAAAAATGAAGAACCCTTTATTTCAAATCCAAGTGCTTGGGTCTAGTTATCCAGGCTTCAATCTTTGTTATGAATTCGAGACCTCTGAACAGCTTGTCTTCATGACATGGACATATGTGTACATTTCAGAGGATATGGAAAATTAGTTATAGGGTTCAAGTGAAAAGAAATTGAACTTGGTTGCTTCCCTTAAGTGGTTTTCCATTTTGCTTGTCCATGTAGTTCATATAGTGCAAAACTTGTTGCGAATGAAACCATGTAAATCACAATCAAATTGTTTCACTCAATTGTTTCTGAATAAAATTAATATAATCCAGGCATTGTTTATTGATATAGGACAATGCCTTAAAACCATATTTATGGTTTCTCTTATTCTGATATCGTGGTAATACATGCACACCCATGAAAATAGATGAATAAAACAAACAACTCATCCACCAGAATGTTTTTCTTTGGCATCTTTTAAAATTAAATAAATGTTTATGTGTTGGTCAATCATACTAACCATTTTTTGTTTTATTCAATAGAAATACTGTAGATTGATATATCAGTTGTTAATTTGACACCTGACTCACTTGAAACACTTGGTTGAACAGGTATCAATGGGTAATGGAACCATAACTGCACATGCACTTATGAGTTTAGAAGCTCGTGGAACCCTCTTTGTTACCCCTGGAATGGAGGTTGTCTTCTAATTTGATTATTGTGTTTCTTCTCTTCTTCTGCTTGATGTTTTTAAGTCAACAGGTTATATCAAATAATCCAGGAAATTTTAAAATCTCTATGCATTCCATTATATGCCTGTCATCTTGGCAAGCCATTTCCTTGATCTGGACTATCAAGTTAATACATGACCTAGCAGATTAGTTGTACTCGTATTTCTTTATTATATTCATTATAACAATCACATCAACTTATTGATGGTACCTTTCTTTACCATCAAAATTATATAATTTGTTGGATGGTTATAATAGATCATTTGTTATTTTGGCAATTCAATCCAATAAATTGAGATGTTTGGTACCATGATGTATAAAACAATTACTGTTGCCACCCAAAAGTATATAACAGAACACATTATGTGATATCCTTAAATCAATCTGCATAATATACTGCTGGTTGACTTTCTTTGTCTAATTTGTTTGCAGACATATGATGGCATGATTGTTGGGGAACATTCAAGAGATACAGATCTGGATGTAAGTGCAAAGGCATGGCAACCCTTTATGATATGTGTTATGTGTAAAAACAGAGAAGTTTATGAGACCCTGGAGTGATTAATTTGTTACAGGTAAATCCTGTACGAGCAAAGGAACTGACCAATGTCCGTGCTGCTGGGAAGGATGAGAATGTGAAGTTGTCCCCACCTCGCCTTGTATGTTTCTTCAACCATCATGTTCTCCTTTCTTGGCCTTGTCTTGCACAATTTAGTTTCTTCTACAAGCAATTGTGTTAAGCATATTGTGTTGCTGGATATAGTATTACCACAGTTGAATACAATATTTTTCTTTTGGTATCTGTGATTACATGGGATACTTCAACATGATATTGCTACTAGATGTTTGATGGATACTTCCATAAAATTTCTTTTGTTACTAAATTAGGATAATGGAAAAAGAATTGTCATGTCTTATTTTAATATTGGTTACTTTCCAAATAAGCTTCTGATCTTACTGTTAGTTTAGTGTGTAAGCAGTTTTCCAATAACAATTTCTTAGACTGTGCATGAAAGAAATTCTGATTATTTTTCCATGCCATAGGATTGTCAAATAACCACACAACTATGGGAGGATAGTGAAACTTTCATTGATCAAGTGGACTTATTACAACTATTGAAAATCTAAATCAATCAAGGATACACTTTCTCTACCAGAAACAGGATCTATCAAACTTTGATGGTTGTAGCATGGGAAACCCAGGACCATCAGGAATTGGAGGTGTGTTTAGGGATGATGAGGGGAGAATAATTGCCTTATTTTCAGGCCTGGTGGGAGAGGGAGATTCTCTCAGAGCAGAGGTTTTGGCAATGATGGAAGGAGTTCAAAGGGCAAGATCTTTGAATGTTAGGAAATTAGTAGTGGAAGGGGACTCACAATTGGTTGTAAATTGGCTGCACAGTGTTGAGATGAAGATGTGGGTTTACAACAATGAAAAGAAAAAATTCAGATGGCTAACAAGGGATATGGCAGTTTCTTTCAGCTGGTGCAAGCATAGTGCCAACTTTTTTGTTGATTCTCTAGCAAAACAAGGGGTGGGACGACAAGTTCTGTTCTGGGCACAATTGTAAGGGAAGGGTGCATTTAAGGGGAGAGATAAGTTGCTTTATCTCACTGTATTTTTCTATGGTTTTTACTCACTGTACTACATCATTTTTCTAATCTAATGAAATTTCACAGTTATTGATAAAAAAAAGGGATAAACTTTCACCATGGGCTTTGCTTATGTGGTCCAACTCTTTCATACATTTGGTAGATACAGCATTTCCATGTCTGACCAAGCAGTCTGGAATCTTTTTGTTATCTCATTTTATCTGGAGATGGTGTTGGAGGGTTATTAAGCAAAGCAATAATATGGTGATATATGTACATATATTCATTAAAGATTTGAAATTGTGCTAAATTTTTTTGAAGAACCAAAGTTCACTAGTTTATCAAAAAATAAATAAATAAAAAGAACAAAGGTTCACCAGTTTCTATTTACATTACCTCATTGAGCCATTGCTATAAATCTTGCAATTGGAACTCAAAAATGCTATGATCTTAACTATCAAAGAAGGAACAGTGAAGTTGGTGGTTAGATGGTGAAAAAGTGCGAGAAAAAGGATGATTTTGGAAGAGAGTATATATGTAGGGGATTAGTCTACCAATCATCTAAATTACCAGGAATTTTTCGCTTGCCTGTTGCCAGTGGCAGCCCACAAAATTCAATTTGTTGCCAAATAACCAATTGCATAGTAAGTTTCAGCCTCCATCATGGAAAAAGAGACTCTTTCGTGGGCAGTTTTGTTAATTCAGAGTTGGAATATAAAAAGTATAGAAATAGAAGAGGGAAGGCCCAATGTAGTGGCCAAAAAACTGGCATGAACACTATAAATGGGGTTTTGGTGGTGGATGCAGATCAGTTACTTCTGCTCTCTTTGGCTGGTTTGCATATTTTAGTTGTGACTCTGTGTAATCTGCCCAGCAACTTGGGTTGTTTGTTTCTTATGTTCTTTTATGAAAAATTGCATGATAGTAACATATTTCTATCTATGAAAAGGTCAAATGACTGTCACATGCTAGCCTCTTTTAAGTTCTAATTATATGTATATGATTAGTGTAAGCAGTGTGGTAAGGCAGAATGTGACGATCTCCTTGAAGGACGAAGAAAGGCCAAAAGTAGCAAAGGCGAGTAGGGGTCACAAAGTTGAAAGAATCATGTCTCGATCACGGTTTATTCCCCCCTTTTATAGGGGAAGGCCCTGAGATCCTAAAGGGAAGGTGCCAAAAAGGGGTTTGATTCCTATTGGGAAAGGAGATCTTAGATTAGATGTTGGTTGCCAGGAGGACACTGCTGGGGGTTCGCCACGTGTCGCCTGAGGTCCTCTTAGGGCGAAGTTTCCTTTCGTCCGTGGATTCTCATGATAGATGTGCGCTACTCCTCGTGGGTCCCCTGCGTCGTCGTGGCACACATGACGCTGGAACTAGTCTGACGTGTTTTGCTTAGTTTGCTGGGTGTCTTGTTGTGGGTGTCTTTGACTTGTTGCAATCTTGTAACGGTCTTTTAGTCTATTGCAGGTCTGCGATGGCTTTGAGCTCATTGCAGACCTGTGATGGGTTATGGTCTCATCGCAAACCTGTAATGGGTTATGGGCTCATTGCGGGCCCTCGGTGGCTTCCATTCTTCCGGTTTAATGTTTTCATCGCGATCACAGACATAGTGAACTAAATGTACTTACAATTAGATCATTAGATCTTTAGAAGCTGAATTATTTTAGGGCTCCCCCCTTCTTAATCCCAAAAGTTTGACACTGCAAGTAAGTTTTTGAATTTCTGTTTTCTCTAATGAAGATGGAAATCTCTTGGCTGTATTTGTTTAAAGTAAAATGGAATAAATAATTTTCATCATTAAATGTTTTAGCTATATTTTTACCCCTTTTACATGAAATTAAATTATAAATTGTGAAAAAGTTTGTGCCCATTTTGCAAAGAAACAAATACAGCCATATGAAACTTCTTTCTGTTCAAATTGTTATCAGCTATTCTATCATATTTAGTTTTTTTGGTTCTCATCTCAGGTTTCTAGGGATGAGGCCCTTTATTTGGGTTGCTTTGGGGAATTCGGATTAGCTGAATGCTTTAGCTGTATAGCAGGTTGCGGAACCAATGATAATGCCCCACACCAGTGACAAAATGCATGGAGCCCACACAGATTGAATGGTTGTGGGCCCCATGTATTTTATGACTGGTGTGGAGTGTTACTATTGGTTCCACGGCCTGCTGAACAGGTATTGTGTTCAGCCAATCATATCTCTGCTTTGGGTTGTTTCCAGAAATCACTTTCCTCTAAAGATTCCATAAAATATCAGCTAGGAGAGGTCAAAAAAGGGAGCCTGGTCTAGATTCTCACTGCATAATGTCCATGAAAGATAAAACAGAGTAATCAAGGAGATAGTTAACACATTAACCATAGAATGTTGCATGCTACGAAGCTGAGAAAAGCGACAAGAATCATGTTCAAGAAGATATTTACTTTAATCCTTTCCATGGTCATCCTCACGTGAGGAGCAGGATGATGGGGCATCAGAGCTCAGGTCCACACAACCTTTTGAAAGGTTTCAAAACTTTGATATGAAGGCAGAAATTCTGGATACTTAAGAATGCACACCACAAGATGAATTCAGTTAGACTTGCTGAATGCCATAGGATGGATTTCTTGACTTTTTAAGGATATGTTGCTTAAAGTTGGATAACAAAGAATTGGAAAGCATAAGTCTTTGCAAGAAGATGAAAAGAAATTCATTAAGTTCTTCCGAATTCCAAGAACTATATCTAACAATTGCATCAAAACTGCACAATTTGCACCAAGGGGACATGAGTTAATGATTATACTTGTGAAAGTTGACAAATTAAAAGCTATGGCTGCAATCCTTCCTGGACACGATTGAATAGGAAGAAGTTTTTCAAGAGAACTTTAGTTGGAAAACGATCAGAAAAAAAGAAAAAAAACTTTAGTTGGAAACAGAAACTAAAATATAAACCTTATACTTAAATTTACTCTTTAAGTAACCTTACCCTTCCAAAAGGTTTTGATCTTAACCTTAAAATTAGAATCTAGAAGAGACAAGCATGTGATAGTTGTATGATTTTTAATGGTGAGCAAAATGTAACTGTTGTTTGATAATACGTTAATCTTGAAACTAGAAAGGACAGGATTAGAAATGAACTCGTTCAAAGGAACCTAGGAGTAGCTTAATTGATGATAAAATGAGGGAAAGCAGACTAAGATGGTTTGGTCACATGCAGAGAAGACCATGTATACAGCACCAATAGGATGAGGGTGAATCTGCTGTGTGCAATGTGCATGCTATGCACAGGACATAAGTCAACTGTTACAAGTTGAAGGGGTTAGAAGAGCTGGGGGGCAGGCCACAAAGGATATGGGCTGAAGTAGTAAGAATTGATTTAAGGGATCATAATTTAACAGTGGATATTGACACTGAACAGAATGGAATGACAAAACAGGATTCATTTAGCTGACCCCATATACTTGGAATGATGATGATGGTGATCCAAACATCTAGATTTGATCAAGCTTCTCTTGCGAGCCCATAGCCATTTCATCTATGTCCACTAGAGTGGTTTATATCTGTGCTGGGAGGGCGGTTTGATAGAATTCGGATCTTCTCCTCAGAGTGCTTCTCACACCAACCTCATGGGGAGATGTTCCCGATGTGCGGATGCAATGTGCTTTGAGGATGGTGCGAAGAGTGCTCTGTGAGGAGCAGACTCGTGCTGGGTTTGGTAGTAGGCTTCATCTAATTAAAGGTAGGTCAATGCACATGAAGTCCTTGTAGTAGCCCTGAATGCCACAAAGCTGTGTGCTAAAGCAAAGACTAAAAGCCCATTCTCGTTAGCCTGTGCCTTGTGTTCTAATGTATTGCTTATCAATAGCCATGTAAAGCCAACCATTGCAGTAGGAAATTATTCTAAGAAAAGATGCCTACGAGATACTCTGTGAATTTTTCTTTTTCTTATTTTCTTTTACCTAGGCCTGTCAATTATTTACTTGTGATAACTAGGAAATACATAGCAAACAATAAAACATTTTATATATGTTTCTCATGGTTTACTTGTGATGATTTCATTTAGATGTCCAGAATTGTTGTTTTATAGGGTGACATAAGATATTTGGAGGGAGAGAGTTAGCAGGTCCATTGTCAAGTTACCTTTATTTGTTTCTTCCCCATATTAACGAACGATTGCCTTCTGCAACTTGTGTTTGCTTCCTTGGGATTCTATTTTCCTCTCTTTCCCTTTGACTTCTGATTACATACAACAGTATACATGGTTGCCTTGTTAAAAATGCTTGGGCTAGCCTACTAGGAGTTATTGTCAAGCATACAATAATGCATTACTGCTGAAGTGCAAGGTGGAAAAGCACTACTACATTTTTTTTGAGTAATATTTAAGAAATTTCTTTACAAGCACGATGTATTAACTGAATGCATTTCTATGCAGATGACACTTGAAGAAGCTATAGGATATGTTGCTTCTGATGAGTTCATTGAGGTGAAATCCCTGAGCACCTGATCTTAACTGATGGTTGGGATGGATCAATCACTTTCTTAATTTGAAAATACCCTTTTGCATGTTTTCAGGTTACTCCAAAAGCTATTCGGTTGAGGAAGAGATACCTGGATGCTAATAAGCGGAAAATGATGAGGAATAAGCCCAAGGAATGAAGCTTGTGCCTTCAACAATTTTGAAGAAGCTTGTGCTCAAATATACCCAGGTAGGATATGTTAACTTTTTTTTTTTCCTTTTTATCTTCTTTTACCTGTGCCATTTGTCTTGTTTATTACAAGAAAATCTCAAAATATTCTTTCTCATGATACGAGAGGCGAACAAACTTGGAATATATTACGGCATTGACTATTATGACAACAAGTAAATTATAATAATAGATTGTAATGTATTGAACCATCTTCTTTTGAGGTATTACTAGTTTATTTATAATGAGTAATTTTCTCAATTATTTACATTTCTTTTCTTTTTTTCCCTGCAAATTGGGCATCAACTGGCTACCTCCTGAATGCAGTAACAGACGCTTAATTATCTAAATTTTTTGCTTCAAAAATGAAACTAATGACTATGCAGCTGATATTGACCGCTTTGCACCTAGTTTAATGTAGTAAAAGCCATCAGATTGGGTCACAGTTCACAAATAAACAGCCTCTTTCATTTTAGGGTGCTTTATTGTATTAATCTATAACTAAGGGCTTAAAAACAGCACTGATGATATTGAAAACGAAGTAAAAAGTTAGCCTTCGTATTTGTTATTCTTAATGATAGTAAAAGCAAGGTTCAAAATTTCACAATGGATTGGACCGTATTGGCTGATATGTATCGTTTCAGTACAAGTCCAATAAATGGAACATATAGAAATCATCTGTAGCATTCCTTTTCGTATGTACTGAACATATACGAGCCTGTATCGGACTGTTTTGGTTCTTTATATATTAATAAATATTAAGATAAATTATATTGATTATTTTAAAACTAGGTGTATATCCATATACATTTTAGCTTTTTTTGTTGTTTCACATTTTAATTATTTGATCATTTGTCAATAGTTGCCAAGTGTGTTCAGTATCTTGAACTTTATATAAATCATTAAATTACAGTTTTTTTTTTTACTTTTAAGTAACTTATTTACGATCATATAAAACGTACAACTATTGTTATTAATATGTTTTGTTATGATTTATTTGAGTTTTCTAGTATATTTGTGTATCTTGATTTTTCGTTTGTATCCATGCATATTCAAAGTATATTTCGATACGTCTTTTAAAATTGTATTTTTGATACACCTTGTTCTTTTGGTGCTTTAAGCATTAGATAAAAACTGAATTAATTTTTTTAATTTTATGAAATGCTGTATACATTGTAAAATGCACCAATGGCAATTGTTTTGAAAGGCATGTGAGGTGAATGCGAATATGCATTGATACAATGGCGTATCGTGCCAATACACACAACTAGCAGGATATTCATAGAATTGTAGTGTATCTTGTACTAGTGAACACGGCTAAGGATACGATACGCTCTGTATCAGGTGTATCATATCGATAATTTAATCATTGCCTTCGTCTACATATATAATAGAAAGATGAGTATATGGAGGAAATTCATGTTTGTGCCCGAAAACACCCCACATGTACATCTCAGCATGCATTGGGACATCTCCCGTACTTGTCATTGGGAGATGTTCCCAATGCATGGTTGGGATGTGATGTGGGTCATTTTTGGGGCATGCTTTGTGGGACAGACATGAATTCATGTGGAGGCCAAAGGTCTCTCACCACAGGCGTCAGTCTCCCTTTCTCTCTTCCATGCGTAAAAATTAAAAATAGAAATTTTATTAGACAGGTTTCCTCATAAAAGTCCTCCTATGCCTTAATTCCTCTATTAAAATCTATTATTATTCTTCTCTAATAAAGTCATTCTTAAATATCCCTCTCCCTCTTCCCTCTTCAATAGTCAATGATTGTAATATCTCCATCTTCTATTAAATCCCTCATTTCCTATTAAATAACTTCAAACCCCTTTTGAACATCTCTAATAAAATATGGGTATAAATTAGATGGGTTGGATGGGGTTAAATGCCAACCCAAGACCAAGCCTAAACATGGGGCCTTTTCCTGAAAGCAAATCGATGTCAAAACCCGAATTTGCCAATCCATCTAATTTCGGATCAATCCCGTTCATTTACACATGTTTGTGAGCTAGTGTACTGAAGAAACTTGAATCAAACAAGGGAATCAAAGAGATGCAAGACAAAGGAAAAGAAATTATAGAAGAGGAAAAAAGAAATCGGTGTTTTTTCTTTTGATGGATGGCATAGAAAAAAGAAGAGGCTGCATTTGATTCAAGTTTTCAAATGAAATGCTTTTTGTTTCTTTTTTTTTTATCAAGCAGTTATAATTATTGTTAAATATCAGAATTGCGTAATTGTGACAACGCCTAGTTCAGAGGCTAACCCTATTCATATTCCATCATTGTGCTGTAAAAATTATCCTATAATGCTTAAATTTGTCTTTCAGTAGGGACTAGAGAGAGCAATAACCTGGTCGACCTAGGATTAGTGATTCCATCGAATGAGAAAAAACAACCAACAATTAGAATTTGAACTACCAAAATATATGATAAAAAAACAACCAAATAACCAAGATTTGTTTATTTGAATTCCATAGAATTCAGGGATGATTCTGCTTCTGTTTCCTGGTTCATTGGCTCATTGCCCTGTGGTTTCATACCCGTGAATTTGGCATCAATCCACGGGGCAGGATTCAATCCATCCCGAGTATACTAGTAGCTCCACCTAGGGGTGGACTGAATGGTACAAACCCCTAAAAAAATTGGGACTTAGCGGGTGACCAGTTCAACGGTTCAATTGCCTGGTTCTGTCTGAACCTGAAAACACTTCTAATTTATTGAAATTCTTATAATCTAGGGTAAAAGATTTAAACCTCCTTTGAGGTTTTTCATTTCGGGAAAATCTATGATGAGGGAAAGATATGATATGAAAAGAGTTTTGACAAATCAAAACCCACCCATGACTTTTGATAAATAACACCTGATTCACTACTTCATTTATGATTCCAGTTGATTGGTCAGATGTTTTTCCGATATCATATCTTTTTCATATCATAGTCGAACCCTATAGTGTGATATATAATACCAAAAAGGACGAAAATAAAAATTTTTACATTGAACAAAAATTATTTCACTCATGTAGAAACGTCATTAAAGGGTGGAGAGGTGTTTAACACCTATACATAAATATTATTTCAGTAATTTTTGCAGCGTGGATAAATACATGCCCACTTGTACCTTTGGCAATTCCAAGCCTTCAATAAATTCTTGTATGCTCTTTTAGTTACTACCCTTCCTATGGTTAGTTCCTTCAGTTTGTCATAAGGTATTGGGATGCCATATCTTCACATCACCTAAAAAATGAGAGATAAACTATGATATATTTCAAAATGATTTTCTGAAATAAACACTGAACAAAAAACGTAGAAGAAAAATGAGAAGGTTGGTTTGATATGCGCTCAAGTCACAGTGATCCAAAAGTTGAGAAATTTATGTGACAACGATGTTTCTTAAAATATGATTCTAGTCTTATAGGTCTGCATGATGAATAGTTCAACATGGATACATGAATAATATGTTCTAAAATCCAATGGGCTCTAGGCTTCTAACAACTAGATATTATAGACCAAAAACAAATGTTCACATTCAAGCAGATGGTGATCAATACCTTCTTTTTGGTGTATAAAAATGATGGCCAACAAATATAAAACTTACCTTTTAGACTATCAAAGGGATGAAAACTATATATGTTAGCAAGATAAAGCTTAAAATCAACGTGGGTTTTGGGCATATGTTGAATCCTCAAAACGTAGTAACTGAAAAATATCATCATCATCATCATCTATGCCTTATCCCAACTATATGAGTAGTTTTATTGGACAACTGTTGGTTGTAATACTGACATGCTTGTTAACTACTACCATTATGAAAATAGTAACCAAGGAAACAATAAAAGGTCACACACAAAAAAGTCAAGGCAACACATCATATTTAAATGGATAAAAAATGGCACCTAAAGAAAACAACTGAGATAAGACAGAATATGCACAAAGGTCTCATTAAGCATTAAAATATTAATTTTTCAAATCTCAAATAACAAGATCCAAGATGTTTTTCTCTCTCATTAAAGTTCATTGCAAGAGTATCAAGTTCACATTTTCTTGTAGAAATAAACATAATTGATACATGATGACATCCAAGGAATACAAGTGAGAGCAACTGCATCAATCGGATGCTAATTAATGATTACTATAAATCACACAATCAATAGAAAATATCACTGCATCTAAACTAATAGGAATATCAGGATCACAGTTAGGGTCCACCCAACCCAAGATATCTATGGCCTTCTTGTACTGTTCTTTTATTTGTTTCAAAATAACAAAGGAAATCATAGTAACATAACTTTGCTTATGTTTATCTATGTATGCTACGAACTATCTAAGAAATATCAAGGAAAGTATTCCTTGTAATTGAAATAATCTGTCTAGGTATGTTCTTCTTCTCCATTCCCCACTCTGGCTTCTCAATGTCCTTTTAAGTATATAACAAATATATTGAGGAAATCATGTCCATCCAATCAAAGGGACTTCTTTAATTATTTAGTGCTGCAAATGGATTGGATTCAAATTGGATGTACTCACATTCAAATTTAATCCATTAATGTTCAGATTTGAATTGGATCATATCCATCAGATTCATAAAGGATTTGGATATTGTGTATTATTAATAAGTTGCACTTAGAAATAATCAAATTATTATTTTTATTAAAATAACAACTTAAAAATTAACTGCTATGAAATGATCTGCGCACAGGTTTTTAGCTGCAGCATTAGAAGATGATCAGCGTAGATGGCCTCTGTTTCGGGAAGCAAAGACATTGCTAGTTGGGTAAAAAAGAGAACAATTGTAGTTTCAGATTGTGAGATTTTAGTGACAAATCTATCTATACCAAACAAGATCTGATTGATTATCCAATTTGGTTTGAGTATCTACTGAACTGATTTCTAAGTTATAAAATAGAGCTGCAAAACCTGGATTGACTGATTTGAAGAACTCGTTAATGGCAGCAGTGAAGAAATAAATCAACCCCAAATTAGAGCAAGGGCGGATCAGAAAAAAATAAAAATCATATTGTAGTCAGTTAAAATAAAAAAAGAAGGAAGAAGGAGAGGAAGAGGAGGCAGGGAAGAAGAAGAAGATCCTGCATAAGAGAAGATCCCAGATCCCAGATCAAAGCATGCATGGTTGATTTGGAAGAAGAAGGAGGGGAAGAACCGAAGAAGAATGGATCAGCGACGATCTTACCTCGTCGGAGGGCGGTTCGACGATGACGAGTATCTTGGAGGTCTACGCTTCTTCAGTTCTTCCTCTAGTCGATTAGGGTTGGAATTTGGAAACGATGGGGTTTTTTTGTCAAAAAAAAATAATAAAAAAGCATAAACCGGAATGGGAATGGGAATGGGAATGGAATTTCTTAGGGTGGGGTCGGGAATGGGCATTCCCCCATCCGCGTAGAATGTTCCCATTCCGTTTAACCAAACATTCAGAATGGGAGTGAACCATTCCGATTTCAATTTCGAACTCTTATTCTTTCAAACCAAACAGACCCTAAGTTTTTTACCCTATAATGACATAATCTAGTGTAAGACATGTGATATGCAAATGGGCAAGTAAAGGGTAAGATATAAACCGAGGTTTTTTTTTAAAAAAAAATCAACATTAAGTATTCAAATTTAATTTTTATGATTTGCACCAAAGTTAAATCAATTATCTGCTTTATAATAGCATAGAAAACTAGTAAGACCGTGTCCATTTGCACATAAAAGTAGACATGCTCACGGGATGGGCATTGCCTCTATATTAATGAATTCAGGCCTGAGCTTAAGTCCTGACCATTGGGCCTAGATTTTGAATTTAAGCCCAACCCTGATATAAACTCCTAAACCTAACCAAGAAAATTGGGTAAGACGAATTTTTATTTTAACTCAACAATAAAACTAATTTATTTAAATTAAATGACTTGAAAACCAAAATACTAAAAGATTGAGAAAATAGAAGAGGAGTAAAGAAAAAAATATGTATTATATAACTTTTATTATATAAAACATCATTACATAGGGCTTGGGCTCAGGCTCAGGCCAGGAATTTTTGAGGAAGCCTAAGCCTAACCTGAAAAAAAAAAAAAAAAGTGTTTTGGACCTGAGCCTAAGCCTGTAGGGCTAAAATATTAGAATCACATCTGTGCCCCACAAAAGCTCCACAGCATATCCAACTATGTATTGGAAACATCTCCCATTGACAACTTCAGGAGATGTTCTCAATGCACACTGAGATAGATGTATATGTGGGGCATTTGTTTGGGGGCCCTCTGTGGAGCGCAGAAGTGATCTCAAAATATTGTCCATGCCTGACCAAGAACAGACCAGGCCACCTGACCTATGAACAGATCTATATGAAAATGAGAGATGAGTAAAATGATCGAAGAGAGATTGGTTGATTGTAGAATTTTCAAATCATTGCTGACCCGACTGGTCGGACTAGTGGTCTGACCATATTTCCGATTTGAGTCAAGCATTAACTTGTCATACTACCAAAACTGTTTGGTGTTATTTTTTTCAAAATTTTATTGTTATGATTATGACCCCATGGATTCACCTATTGACCAAGGTAATTGAACCATGAGAGAAGGAAAAGGGCCCAAACTAAAATTCCCAATCCAATCCCAACACATGGTCCCAACAAGTCATTGCAGTTATGCATAGAGGAAGAATCTGACCACTTGTTGGAATGCTGTTGGGACCGTGCATCGGATACAGATCCAGACTCCAAACTAAAACCCTTGATTGATGACTCTGTACTATGCATATAAGAACGATCTACATAGATAAATCATTGTAATTGCTGAAAATTAAAAAGTTAAAAAAGAAATGAAATAAAATTTGGACAACGACTAGAATTTATGCTATGAGATCCAATTGTGACCACGCAACCCCTAGGCTTGTAGTAATCTAGTCCCAACAGTCGTGCATTGGGATGAGGGGAGATGTCTCCGAATGCATGACCGTAAACTCTGTTGGGATCTGATCTAAACTCTGTAGCAACGTGCATGCCACTTGACCCTGGGTCTCACTTGATGACTTCAGCTCCCTCTAAACTTTATAATACCTTCTTACTTATTAGGGTTTGACTATGATGTGAAAAAGAAATGATACCAGAAAATCTTATAATTAATCAACTCACATCATAAAAGTAGTAATTCATAAGTTCAAATCAGCCCCCATAAGGAGAAGGACTCCCGATCATCTGTCCACGAGAACTCCACCCATATCTACCTATAACACACTATCCCGTGAATTATGAATATCTCCCCCTACATAATACTATGTATAAGATTAGTTCTTCATATGTGGCTGTAATGTTATATGGGTAGACGTGAGTAGAGTTTGTGTGGGCAGGAATCCAAACTCACAAGGAAGCGCCCCACAATGCCCCACAACACATCCCAGCCATGTATTGGGATGTTGTGGGGCACCTCCTTGTGGGGGGCTTATGTGAATTCATAATTCATAAGTTATGATTAGTGAAAGCTTTTTCGATATAAATATACATGTGTACAAGTAAAGAATATATATATATATATATATATATATATATATATATATATAATTAAGCATGTGCGTACGTATGATTTTTTTTCATATTAATTAGTTGAATTTTAGATATATCATAGTTAGGATAGATATTCAAAATTAATAAAAGGAACAATATGGTTAAAAATAAACTTAAATACTTGTACAAAATGTGCACCTTCAAAAATTTTAAATTACAATAACAATTATTATTATTATTATTATTATTATTATTATTATTATTATTATTATTATTATTATTATTATTATTATTACTACTACTACTACTACTACTACTACTAAATTTTATATTCCATTTATGTATTTATTATTCAATTATGACATTATGAATTTCTTTGAAAAGTTGGATCATT